ATTGTGTGCATTAATTACCGAAGTAAGCATTATACTCCCCCTCCTGAAAGTTTATCAATGGTTAACAATGGTGGTTCAAGTTCAAAAGGTCCTGCTAGTGATGAGAACACCTTGAGAGCGCGCCTTATGGAATTGTACAATGAAATGGCTGACATTAGGGCAACACATGAGGCTAAGCTACAAGAAGTAGTAGGTTCGACAGCAACGCCTTGCAGATATTTATCGGAGTATTGATGGAGCTATGGAGGGACTAGGAAGGGGAGGTGAAGTCCATGGCGGAATCTTACCAATTGTTGAGAACTAAGAACCCGTTGAAAGGGTAATTGTAGAGGATAGGGGAAATGCTGTGGGTGGGAATTGTAACACCCTAGGAATTCCTTTCCTTTAAAATATTTGCTCTTTTTAAAATACGAATATAGGAGGAAATTCTAAGACATTTTCGCCACCGTTAAAACGGCTAAGGCAATTATCAAAGACTCACAGCGGAAGACTCACTTTAAAAACCATTCAAAACAAGTCAACTTAAAAAGTCAAACCAAACGGAAATAAAGTCAAACAAAGTCAACCTACAACTTGGAACCATTGTAGGCCCTTATCAAAACCAAAACGAATATTAAAACCTTTGTGTTAGTGTCACAAGCAAATATATAATAATTGAAGCAATCAAAACACATCATATTCTTATTGAAACTAAATAGAATTCGTTCTTTACTCATGCCCATCGATCATGAATATGCTTCATCACCTGAAAAGCTTCTTTTTACTTTGTCCCCACTACTCGCCATTAGAAATGGGTCGTTGTAAGGCCAAGATAAAGACAAGGCCAAACAAACATACACACACACAATCAGTAATACTGAGTACATAAGCATAAAAGTACACACTAACATGCTTTCATCCTATCAACACACAACTTACCTTGTTGCACCTATTTACAAGAATACCACATACAACATAACCAAACAATAAGCAATGATTTGATTATTTAATTTGATTACGCATTGAACAGGTTTCCCAACAAATCCTTGCCCCAAAAAATTGGGGTAAACTACATCGTGGGCTAATCGGGTAGGCAAATGTCACATGAAAGTGACTGAATGTCCTGCGCATAAGAATAAAAAGGAAAATACAGCGTCCTGTACTCCCAGTAGAACCTATGGTTAAATATAAAACCCCATAACTGCCCCGATATGTTCATACTCAAGGTATATACGTTCTAAGAGTTTGGGTGCGTAATCTCTTTCACTTTACGTTGTTTACATATTTTTAGACTTGGTGATGACTCTCAAACCATAACACAATCAATCATAATAAATCATTCAAACAATTAAACATACCAATTTAATTCTTGAATAATTAGTGACCACATAAATTTAATGTTGAACCCTTTATAAACTACCTCGGCGTTAAATAACACCTTAAGCGCATAAAGCACCGTAAATCCTATTCCTCGGTGTTTAGAACACCTTAAGTGTACTTAGGTACCGCAATATATTTTATTCTTGTGTACTAAGCCACTTAATAGCTTAATTCCCATGCTTAAAGCATCAATAAAAATTATATGAACCATAATAGAATTTCATTTTTATGTTCCAAACCAAATTAAACATTTAGTTTAATTAAGCATGCTCTCAATCATGCTAATAATAAAAGTGTGGTTCATAATCAACATGCCAACATAATTAATTCCAATCATCAATTCACCACAAATAATTCATAATTCACAGATCAATCACCAACATCAATTCAATCAACAATTCCAACCAATACCTATCATGATACTACCTTGGAATTAATTAATCAAAGTCAATAAACATGCTTCTACACACTTAAATAATTACCAAGTACGCAAACGTACCACGAATATGATCTCAAAATCGCCACGACTAAAAGAAATCACTCACTTGGAATTCTCCTACAACCCAAATTACAAAGAGACATTAATATCTATTCATAATAAATTTCCAGCAATATATACACTCTTTAAATCACTTTTAAACTTTCTAAAACATGCTGAAAATTAATTTAAACCACCTACTTTTATTCCCAATTAATGGGCAATTAAAAATCCTTTCAAGAAACATAATTCTAGCCTTTATATAAAAATTCCAGCATTATAAAAACCTATAAACTTGCTGTAATTTTGTTTAAATACATTAATTTTCAATAATTTTAATCAACTACAATCAAATTCCATTAATAAATATTAATTTAGAAACCTAGGGTTTTTCTACTAAAAAAAACCCTAGGGTTTTCAATTTGGTGCTTATTAATTCAAAAACTAAATCTGAAAATTATATGCATATTAATCATAATTAAAACATCATAAAATCATCACACACACCCAAAATCAATAATTAAACAAGGTTGGATTAATTTAAAACAAAAGAGAGAGAGAGAGAGAGTTTTTTTTATATTTTTTTTAATACAACCGCACGCACGGGAGGGGGCTGCTACCGCCCTCCACGCCAGCAGCTGCTGCTGCCAGTTGCTGCTGGTGGCGGTGGCCGGCCGGTGGGAAGTAGCGGTGGCGGCCGGCCACTTGGTGTGTGCGTGTGAGTGTTGTGAGGGAGAGGGGACAATTAAGGAGAGAGAGAAAATAAGAAGAGAGAGAAAGAGAGTTTACCTTTGGGTATTCTCCACCTCGGGCAAAGTTTAATTTGCTCATATGATGGGTATTTATACCCTCTCTCAAAACCCTCCTAACTTAAATTCCCTTTCTACCCTTAATGATTCCTTCTCCTATACAAAATAGTCATTGACTTTCATTGAAATTCCATTGACCTTAAAACTTCATTTTATAGAATAATTATGCCCCAAAGTTTCTAAATGATAAAATAAAATATTTCCAAAACAATTAAATAAATAAAAATGGACCTTTAATTAAAATAAACCTTTTTAAATTATTAAAATACCATAAATAATTCATTTTGAATTATTTAAATACTTCCTAAATTCCTCAAAAAAAAAAAAAAAAACTTCACAAAATAATATTTTAAATTAATATACGTAAAAATACAGGGTATTACAGGAATGTTGTTGATCAAGGAAGTAATTTAGAGGGTTTGGATGAGTTAGTTGCTAAGGAGAATTTGAATGCAGGGGTTGATCGATGCACGGATAGAGTTAGATGGTGCTGATGATGAAGTAGATGGTGGTAATGCTGATGATGACGACGATGAAGATGGTGAAGATGATGATGATGAAGATGGTGATAAGGAGGAGGTTGAAAGATGGGATAGATGATAATGATGATGATGATGTTGATCATCAGATCAGAGTTCAGGATCTGATTGTGGGGGTGATGTTATGGACTATGATGATGCTGATTCTGGTTATGATCCTCAGACCAGAGTTTAGGTTCTGATGCATATCACCGGAGTCTGAGGAACTTTGACAGGATCATTTAGAATGTGCTATAGTTGTAGTTTGTTTTATTTAAATATTGGTTATGGTTGTAATATTTTAGGCTTTCAAAGTAAATAGGTAGAAGTTGTCAAAGCCAATTATTATGTGTATCTTGAATGGTCTTTGTTAGTAAGATGAAGAATTGGCTTTGCTTCTAGTAATAGATTGTAGGAAGTATAATATTTTGGTTAAGAGATTGGAATATATAAGCTGAATTTAAGTTATAATTATTGTTTGCTGTGTGGTTTAATTTTGCGCATAGCGGTTTGCTAAAGTTGATTTATTTTTTCATAATTTTTCCAAGGAAAATGATAATCAGTAGCTTGTTTAATGTAATTTGTCTTTAATTTAAATGCTTGAATCTTTAAAATGGAATTTTGGGGGCAAGGACTTGATTTAAAGTATGTTAAATTGTAAAATTTACATTAAAAATCAGACCAGTATATAATTTGACTTAGTTGCAGGATTTAGCACTAATGAATATACAAGATAAACATGATTTATATGTTTCAGTGGATGGCTATTGTTACACCCAATAATCAAAATTTTGACTTTCATTGACTTTTTCTTTACTTTGACCCCAATTGACCAAATAAATTGGACCTTAAAGTCAGTGAAAGGTTTCGGGCTAAACAAACAAGGATAAGTGAAAGTGGGCTGATATTACACTAACATGCGCTATACATCATAAATGGCTAAGAAGAAGAAATCAACACCTAATAAAACTTTAGTGGGTGATTGTAGGATCCTCTTCGTATACATTAAACCCTCGGAATTAAGCACTAATGAAACACTGCCAGGTAAATGGACAACTCTTAATTCATTAAGTACTTTAGACATTCATAATGGTCTTATTAGATCTCCTCTTATTCATCCCAGTGTTAAGGGCTGATTCCAATGGAGGTTCATGAAAATATGGTTGCCTTAAATCGAGCCCTAGGGATTCCAAATATGAATGGCGGTGTCAATGGAACAATAGCATCACAATCAAATTTGAGGAAAAATAAAATCGATAGCTCAGCTTGACAAGTGGTCATTCTAGATGCTCATGTCATTCATAATACTGATGAAATGTCTAAATGGAATGTTTTGGAGAAGTTACTATATTAAGTTACAACATACACAGTAAGACTAGAAGAATGGTTTATTTTTATTTAATTCATGGTAATTGTCATTCATATTAGGGTAAGTTTTATTAATTTTGGAATAACTTTTCATCTTTTTATGACAACTTTACAATGAAGTAGAGACACAATATTCATTGCACCCTGATTTTCTTAAATTTTTTTATTTTGAAAACATTTTCTTAAAAATTTGTGTACAGAAAGTTCTAAAAATTATATGTTTATAAAAACTAAAAATTGAAACAAACTTAACAAGATTTACATGATATGTTTTATTTTTTTTTGAAGCAATACATGATATGTTTTAAAATACCCTACAATTAAAAATAAAGAAATTTATGTTTTAAAATACCCTACAATTAAAAATAAAGAAATTAAGGTGAATTAACAAGCGATGTTATCCTATTGAGTGTCACGACTCAGACCCAGACTCAAACTCAAACTCGAATTCAGACCCAGACTCAGTGAGACTCGGACTCGGACTCTCAAAAGTCTCTAGGGTGTTTCCCTTTCCTCTTTTTATCCCTCTTTCAGTCGTCTCTTCACTCTCCTCTCCACTCTCTCCCTCTCTATCTCCCTTACATCAACAGCAGCAGCAACAACAATGGTTTTCGAAGTCGGCTTCGTCCCTTTCAACCCAGACGGTTGGGGCCCACCCGAAACCACCACCACCGCAACCACCGTCCCCAGCAACGTCCCCTTCGCCCCCTTTTCTCGCTCCGACAAACTCGGCCGAATCGCCGATTGGACTCGCAACCTCAACAACCCCTCCAACCGTCGCAACAACAACAACCCCAACGACTCCGTCTTCGACTTCTCCGGCGACGACTCCTTCGCCGCCACCGCCGATGACGACTCCTCCTTCCGCCTCGTCGACGGTAAACCCCCACCTCGCCCCAAATTCGGCCCTAAATGGCGCTTTCACCACCACCACAACAACCCATCTCGCCATCTCCCGCAACGCCGCGACGAAGAGGTCGAAGCTCGCAAGCGCGAAGCCGAGAAAGACCGCGCTCGCCGCGACCGCCTTTACCACAACAACCATCGCATTGGCGGTGGTCAGCATCAACGCCGCGAAGCCGCAGTCTTCAAATCTTCCGTTGAAATCCAGCCTGAGTGGAATATGCTTGAGCAGATCCCTTTTTCCACCTTCTCCAAGCTATCCTTCGCTGTTCCTGACCCTGAAGATCTTCTGTTCTGCGGGTCTCTGGATTCGTATGATAAAACATATGATCGCCTTACCCCAAAGAACGAGCGGAGGTTGGAGAGGTTTAAGAATCGGAACTTCTTCAAGGTTACCACCACTGATGATCCTGTGATTCGGAGGTTGGCTAATGAGGATAAGGCTACTGTATTCGCTACTGATGCTATACTCTCGACTTTGATGTGTTCGCCGAGAAGTGTTTACAGTTGGGACATTGTTATTCAGAGGGTTGGGAATAAGCTTTTCTTTGATAAGAGAGATGGGTCTCAGTTGGATTTATTATCTGTTCATGAGACTTCTCAGGAGCCGTTACCGGAGTCAAAAGATGATATTAATTCTGCTCATTCATTGAGTGTTGAAGCTGCTTACATTAACCAGAATTTCTCTCAGCAGGTTTTGGTTAAGGAGGGGAAGAAGGTGAGCTTCGAGGAGCCGAACCCATTTGCGAATGAAGGAGAAGAGGTTGCTTCTGCTGGGTATAGGTATAGGAGGTGGAAGCTTGATAGTGATATGTATTTGGTTGCTAGGTGTGAGTTACAGAGTGTGCTTGAGAGTAATAATCAGAGGCAGTTTTTAACACTAAATGCTTTGAATGAGTTTGATCCTAAGTATTCTGGGGTTGATTGGAGGCAGAAATTGGAGACTCAAAGAGGTGCTGTTTTGGCTACTGAGTTGAAGAATAATTCTAATAAGATGGCTAAGTGGACTGCTCAGGCGCTTTTGGGTGGCGCTGATATGATGAAGTTGGGGTACGTTTCGAGGGTTCATCCTAGGGATCATTTTAACCATGTCATTCTCGGTGTTGTTGGGTATAAGCCTAGGGATTTCGCGTCTCAGATTAATTTGAACATGGCTAATATGTGGGGAATTGTTAAGAGTATTGTTGATTTGTGTATGAAGCTGAATGAGGGCAAGTATGTGCTTGTTAAGGATCCTTCCAAGCCCCAGGTTAGGATTTACGAGGTGCCTGCTGATGCTTTCGAGAATGATTATGTTGAGGAGCCATTGCCCGAGGAGGAGCAAGCTCAGCCTCCTGCTGAAGATGCTGCTAATGGTCTTTCTTCTGAGATTAGTGTGGCTGCCACTGATGTGGAGGACAAGGAGATTACTGCAATTCCTTAAGAAGGGTATGGGATTCTATCTAGCTTTGTATCGTGTTGTTCCATGTTTTTTTATTATGTAATGTGTGTTCTTGAGATTGTTATTATGTTGCTCCATGTTTGTTCTAGTTATTTGCATACTTTGTAAGACTAATTTATACTCATGATGCTATATTTAGCTTATTTATCTAGCTGGTCTATCAACTTCAACTTCTCATACTCTTTATCATAAGTTCTTGGTTACCTTTTTGTCATGTTTTGAATAGCTCACAAACCTATAGAGTTTGGACTGAAGCTTTAGCAGCCTGATTCCGGTAATGAACATGTATATTTAGCCAGAGCGATGACCCATCTTGAGAGAGAAATGAAGAGATAGTCACTCTGGAAAAATCGACCTCCTGAAAACCTAGAATATTCTTCTTGACCATCTTCTCTTTCCTCAAGCCACCTTCCGTGGCTCAAATATGTTTAGTCCATACATAATTTTTTTATGTTTTTTTGAAACGTTATACTGATGTGCACAGATTACCTTTACCAAAGATGGATTAAAAGTACTCAAGGGATAGCTAAAAATACTCTTTTGAGTTTTGAGAAATTTATTATTAATTTATCTGGTAAACACTCTACAATTTGCAAGTTTTTATGTGTTATTTCTAAGAATCAAGCTGATCGATGCTTAGCTAATATCCACTCTCACAAAATGAGAAGGAAGGATTAGAGAAGAGATTAGTAAACAAATTTAGAAGGTGTAATAGGACAAGCAGAGGATATGACTGTGTTGATGGAAATCAAGGCGAAATGCATCAATTACAGTCTAGACTTTTACTTAAGTAGATGGCATTTTTTCAATTAGAGCTTACTGATTACTTTTCGCAATGATCCCTCTTATTCCATTCATTCCCCCCTTTTATTACACTCAAGGCTTTATCTAACTGAAAATTACCACTATTACCTCTCCCCCAAAATTGTTACTAATTCTGTTGCTGAAGTACTTCGTTGCCCTTATCCTTCTTGAATAAGTGAGCATAACAGCAGGCTTAGGGTAGTTTTCTGCTGTTATGAGTGTTGTTGTTACCGTGGCTCCTATTCATGCTTACTTCTTGCTGCATTCTTTCTTCTCGATTCTCCTTCCTTGATATAGCCATAATCTGAATGAATTCTCCCTCTGTTTGGATTTTTCTAGTGCATAAGTTGGGTTTTTTCCACTGCATAAGTGTAAAACTTTGTCACATCCCATGACATGAGCCAAAATGATATTTTTCGTGGGGGCATTCCCTACTCAGCAACGCGCTGCACTTCTCAGAATCGGGTGTAATGATAAGTATGCAAGGGTTGCTAGGTCGTCGCCCAGAAGCGACGCGCCACATTGCGTGAGTGTGGTGTCAACTGATCAAGGGCTTGCAGTTGGGGGCATGAGGGAGCGTTGTTTGAGGGAGCGTGGTATGAGGGAGCGTGTGCGGAAGGACTCAGTGTGCGGATTGTTTCTTGGAATGTGGGGTCTCTTACGGGGAAATCGGTAGAAGCGGTTGAAGTGATGAAGAGAAGACGTGTAAACATCATGTGCCTCCAAGAGACAAGGTGGACATGAGAAGGAGCTCAAGGATTGGTTTTGGGGTATAAGGTGTGGTACGTTAGACAGGGAACGAGCCACATGACTAGGAATGATGGAGCTAGGAATGGAGTTGGTGTGATTCTTGATGAGAGGTTGTCGAAAGAGGTAATCGAAAATAGGATGATTCTTGGTGGAGCTAGGAATTGATTTTTGTTGCTGGTGTGTCACCTTCAACTTTTCATAATCTTTATCATAAGTTATTAGTTACCTTTGTGTCTTTTTTTGAATAGCTTACTAAACTATAGAGTTGGACTGAAGCTTTAGTAGCATGATTCTGCTAATGAACATGTATATTTAGTCAAAGCGATGGCCCATCTCTAGGGAGAGAATGAAGAGTAACTCTGGAAAAGTCGGATCTTCTGAAAACCTAGATATTCTACTTGACCTTCTTTTCCTTCCTCAAGCCACCTTCCATGACTCAAATTTTCAAGTGAATAATCACTGTTTAAACACAAATACACAACGGTCGCAATTAATAATTTGATAGTCATAATCTCAATGAATTCTCCCTCTGTTTGGGTTTTTTCCTCTGTATAAGTTGGGTATGTTTCTTGATTTCATACCCACAACTTTTTCATGCCAATTTTTTTCTCAGATCCCAAAATATTGGTATCTATTCTCTTCAAACGAAATCCCAAGACTTCCCTATGAGTCATCGCCTATTTCAATTTGCTCTCCTCAAATTTTTTTTCCTTTTCTTTGACCGCGATGATCTTGATCCATGTTGCCTGATCCTCTTTTATTTCTCCTGCTTTAATTTGTCTTCTGCTGGGAGTAATTTTCCCTATTCATTTTATGGGGATTTGAAATTATTTTCCCCCAATTTCCATTTTGGGGATTTAAGGGTTCTTGCTCTCAATTGGGGATCCATGTCACCTGATAGGGTTTGTTGGCTATTCATGCTATTCTTCAATTGGGCACTTTTATATAGTAATTGGTTCATGTCTACTAAAGAGCATAGGGTTATTGCATATTTCTGATGGATGGGGATTGGGGGTTATGGCTGGATCATCATTTGACATTCAGGGAGCTCTCTACTCTTATGTCTCCTCTTTTTGGTTACTATATTCTTCAGTTCTTCCTGAATACATGTATATATATATATATATATATATATATATATGTAATTTTTTTACTGTATTGTTATTGTATCTCAATGTGAAATTATGTCGGATTATTTTTCTTCTTATGAATTTGTTGTCTTCATATTTTGTTGAATTTTGTACATTATCATATAAATTGTTATACTTCTCTGTACGTTTTTTTGTTGTTTAATCCGTAATTTATATGCTCATGCTCCTTTGCCCATTAATATTTTTTAGCTACATGGTCTCCTGATTTTTTACCTAGCAGGAAGGGTTTTTAATTGTTGTATTAATAGAAAGCTTGGCTTGTTATTTCATCTTTTTATTTCTTTGACTTCATGATGCTGAGTGTCTTATCAAAGTTTTGGTGGATACTTTGCTATAGCATATTAGATATCTTTTTATGTGCCCATTCACCTCTTGATAATGTTGTTTACTCAAGTTGTTTTCATCTTGAATATGAAACTAGCCTATATAAGGCTTCTAATCTTTGAATATAATAGAGATTATTCTTCAAATACATCTTGTTGCATTTGGTATGTTTGGTATTGTTTCTGAGATCGCTTTTTTTCAGCCTCCATGTGTCATCATGTTCTTCTCCTCTTCTGTTATTGTTTGTTTGTTATTCATTTTTCTTTTCTTTTATTTATTTATATTTTTTATGTTTGCACTACTTCATTCTCTTATGAAATTACATTATCTTTTTAATCTTCACTTAGTTACTTTGTATTGCTATGATGCTCCCATAGTCCCCTTTCCCTGCTGCGTTATGATCGGTTGGCCTGTGTTTAGCTGAATTTCTCTATTTTAATGGTTCTTTGGTTTTTGAGTCCCTTGACAGTTGACTTCTATCTCAATGTCATTGAGTTTTTCTAAGCTTTTGCTTGGTGAGTAAACTCATTAATCGCCTGTTTGTATATGATGGGTATTGTGGGATGCTCTGAGCAAAGGTTGGCTGATCTTTCATCTGAACAATGTTTTGTATGTCCTTCGTCTGTTTGGGCTCTCTTCCTGTATTTCTCTTTGTGGTTGTCGCTGATTTTCAAGTATCATTCTTCCTGTTTTCTTTTGTTATGATTTTTATTTCTGCTGACTCTCTTCTTGTCCCTCTCTTTTTCAGGTTCCTTCTTATGCTTGTTTTACTTCCTCCTCTCCTGCAGTATCATTTTTAGGATGCTCATATGCTCACTTTTGTCCCTTTTTGGCGCTTCAGTTTAGCTGGGATTTTGGTCAACTTTTTAGCTATGGAGTAATTTTATTGCAGCTGGTGTTTTGTTCGTTTATTTCCTTTTAGGAAATTCTCTAAATTTCATTGCCTTTTTTGTTGTTAATCTTTCAAGCGCTTTAGTGATTTGAAATTTTTTAGTTGCTTCCTGCCGAGGAATTCTAAGGGGTCATTTGGTTAACATAGTAAGTGAAAGTTCACATGAAATTCTAAGGGCTTTTCTACACACTAACCCTCTTAATTTCACTTTTCTACGTTGTGGCCGCAAGTACATTTAGTATTCATATAGTAACCTTGTCGTTGTTCCGCCGTTATATATATATATATATATTTTGCGTATTGGAAAATATTTCGTTAAAGGTTTTGGTGCTATTTTGGCCCTTATGGGTCCAAATCGAGCTCAGAGTTATTTTATGAATTTGCGTATTGGAAAATATTCCGTTAATGGTTTTGGGGGTTATTTTGGCCCTTATGGGTCTAAATCGAGCTCAGAGTTGGAAAAGAAAAAGCCCCCGTAAATGCCTCGTTTTGCATGTTAAGAAATGTCTCGATTTACATGTTTACGTTTTAATATGTAAGATGAGGCATTTACGTTTTTTTTTTGCCAAATCTGAGCTCAATTTGGACCCATAAGGGCCAAAATGGAGCCCAAAACCTTTAACGGAACATTATTCAACACGCAAATCGATAAAAAATATTAAGAAGTAGAGAGTGGGCTCTATTAACGGAATTTACTAACGGTGGGATAACGTTAAGGTTGCTGACTGTTTTAATTGATTCTGTTCCATTTTAACTGATTTAATTCCCTTTATCTACGTTAATCAATTTGGACTGTTATTAAAAAATTGATTTTGTGACCATTTTCTACTGTTTTTTAGGCATAATTAGCACTTAATCTGCCGTTATGCTATTATGGTCTTTAAAACTGTTTTCCGCCTTTGGCTATAAAAGGAGACCGTGTCAAGCTTTTTAAAATACACAGAAAACCATTCTAATCTTTCTCCCCCTTAAAAAATTCGAGCAGTTTTTCTAATACTTTGTGGTGTTTAGTTTTCCCGATGGTTCTGTGCAAATCCATTGGTACACTATATTTCGAGAGGCTGTTTTATCCTTGGGGACATTCGGTGAAGGTTCGATCTGCTTGCACAAATTAAAGGCAGTATCATGAATGTTCTAAAGAGAGCGACACAGTCCGTGACTCAGCCTTATTCCTGGTAACAATGTTCTTATTATTTTTGTTCCTGCAGTTTCGTTTCCAACAATTTTAGAACATTTATTTTTTGCCTTCGTCAATATTATGTCTACCGAAGAAATGACTATGTTCAACGACCTTAACAAACCCTTCCGTTTTGAAGGTGCTCACTTTAAAAGGTGGAAACTGAAAATGCAATTTTTCTTGATTGTTAAAAAGGTTCATTCCGCATTGACTGTTCCTACACCTGTTATTCCTGATAATGCTGATGAAGATGAAAAAGTTTATCTGAATAGTGAAATCAAAACCTGGAATAAAAATGATTTTATGTGCAAGAATTATATTCTTAATGGCCTGTGTGATAATTTGTATGATTATTACAATTTGGAAAATACTGCCAATGATCTTTCGGATGCCTTACAAAAGAAATATGATACTAAAGAAGCTGGTGCCAAAAAGTATGTTATGAGTAGGTACCTGAAGTTTTAGATGACCGATGATAAATCTGTTGAAGTGCAATCTCATGAACTTTAGAAAATTGCACACAAGATAATTTTTGAAGGTATGGCTCTAGATGAACAATTTCAAATTGCTGTTATTATTGACAAACTGCCTCCTTGGAAAGATTTCAAAAATAATCTTAGGCACAAGACTAAGGAATTCTCCTTGGAGAGTTTGATCACTCGGCTTCGTATAGAAGAAGAATCCAGGAAACAGGACCAGAAGGAAGAAATCTTACAGGTCATTGCGAACAATGCTCCTAAGCGATCTGCTGCAGTATTCAAGCCCGCTTGTAAGAATTTCAAACTTCGAAACCGGAAGAATAACTCCAACAGAAACAAACAAAATGTTCAAAAGAACAATGGACAGCAACAGTCTCATCCCCCTAAGAATTGTTCTGGTCAATATTTATGCTATAGGTGTGGAAAACCAGTCCATATGGTACAAAAGTGCAGGAACATGCCTAACTCTACACCTGCGCAAGCAAGCATGATTGAAGAGCCCCTTGTGGCTATGATTATTGAGATCAACCTTATTGGTGGATCAGATGGGTGGTGGGTAGACACTGGTGCTACACGTCATGTCTGCTATGATCGTCGGATGTTTAAAACATACACTGAAAACACCGATGATAAGAAAGTGTTGTTGGGTGATTCCCATTCCACTAATGTTGCTGGTATTGGAAATGTTGAGTTGAAGTTTACTTCTGGCAGGACTCTCATTCTGAAGGATATATTGCACACTCCGAAAATGAGAAAGAATTTAGTTTCTGGTTTTCTTCTTAATAAGGCTGGTTTTACACAAACCATAAGTTCTGATTTGTTTACTTTGATTAAGAATGGAATGTTTGTAGGAAAAGGATATGCTACTGATGGTATGTTTAAACTAAATGTTGAGATTAATAAAATTTCTGATTCTGCTTATATGTTGTGTTCCACTATTAATGTTTGGCATGCTAGACTTTGTCATGTGAACAAAAGACTCATAAAAAATATGAGCAATTTAGGCCTTATTCCTAATATTTCTCTTAATGATTTTGACAAATGTGAATTTTGCAGTCAGGCTAAAATTACGAAAACACCTCATAAGTCGGTTTTGAGAAATTCAGAACCATTAGATTTAATTCATTCGGATATTTGTGAATTTGACGGAAAGTTGACCAGAAATGGACAACGACATTTTATCACCTTTATTGATGATTGTTCTGATTATACTTGTGTTTATTTGATGAAAAAAAAGTGATGCTTTTGAAATGTTTAAGTTGTTTGTGACAGAATTTGAGAATCAGTTTAACAAGAAGATAAAAAGTTACGAAGTGATCGTGGAACTGAGTATCATACTAATGCTTTTATAGAATTTTATAATTCACAAGGTATCATACATGAAAGATCTGCCCCTCATTCTCCAAAGATGAATGGTAAGGCTGAAAGGAAAAATAAAACTTTTACTGAGTTTTATTAGTTGCTATATCCTTAAATTCTGGTGCTGCTGATCATTGGTGGGGTGAAATCCTTCTTACCGTTTGTTATGTCTTGAACCGTGTTCCAAAGACTTAGAGTAATTCTTCGTAACAAACAACCTAATATTGCTTATTTTAGAACTTGGGGTTGTCTAGCATATGTTAGGATTCTTGATCTTAAAAGAGTTAAGTTAGCTAGTAGAGCTAATGAATGTGTGTTCATTAGATATGCTGTTAACAGTAAAACATATAGATTCTTTGATTTAAATGCACGTGTAATTATTGAATCTAATGATGTTGATTTTTATGAGGACAGGTTTCCTTTTGAATCTAGAAATAGTGGGGGTTCGTCCTCCTTTATTATTTCCTGAAGTTAGGTCTAATTCACAAGACCTGGATGCTGAACCCGAACTAAGAAGGAGCAAACGGGCTAGAGTAGCAAAAGACTTTGGCCCGAAATTTGAAGTTCTCAATGTAGAGGAGGATCCATCTACCCTCCAAGAAGCCCTAGCCTCAGTTGATGCAGATTTATGGCAAGAAGCCGTAAATGGCGAAATGGACTCACTTGAGTCTAACCGAACTTAGCATCTAATTGAGTTGAAACGAAAGCTGAAAGTTGATGGCACCGTTGATAAGTATAAAGCTCGTTTGGTAGCTAAAGGCTACAGACAAAGGGAGAATGTTGATTTCTTTGATACTTATTCACTTGTAACTAGAATGACTTCTATTAGAGTACTAATGTCTCTTGCCTCTGTTTATAATGTTGTAGTGCATCAGATGGATGTAAAGATTGCATTTTTGAACGGTGGATTGGAAGAAGAAATTTACATGGATCAACCGGAGGGCTTTGTCATCCCAGGATAAGAGCATTTGGTATGTAAATTAGATAAGTCTCTTTATGGTCTCAAACAAGCACCTAAACAATGGCATGAAAAATTTGATAACTTAGCCATTTCACATGGTTTTAAAATAAACGGTAGTGATAAATGCATATATGTGAAATTTGAGAATGACATTTGCACTATAATTTGTTTGTTTGTGGATGACTTGTTAATTTTTGGCTCGAATATTCACGCTGTGAATAATGTAAAGCTATTGTTGAATGCTGAGTTTGACATGAAAGATCTAGGGGAGGCAAATGTAATCCTTGGGATTAAGATTACTAGGACAGAAAAGGGAGTTTCCTTGGATCAATCTCATTACATTGAGAAAAACCTAAAGAAATATGGTTACTTTGACTGTAAACCTGCAAGAGCACCTTATGATCCCAGTGTAAAATTATTTAAGAACACTGGTGATGCCGTTAGGCAATCTGATTATGCGAGCGTCATTGGCAGCCTTCGGTATGCCACTGATTGTACTAGACCCGATATTGCCTATGTCGTGGGATTGTTAGGCAAGTTTACTAGTTGTCCTGGTAATGAGCATTGGCATGCTGTTGAAAGGGTCATGAGATAACTTAAGAGGACCATGAACCTAGGATTACATTATGAAAGGTTTCCAACTGTACTAGAAGGATATAGTGATGTTGACTGGAACACCTTATCAGATGACTCTAAGTCTCTAAGCTACTAGTGGATCTATTTTTTCTATAGCCAGTGGAGCTGTATCTTGGAAGTCTAAGAAACAGACTATTTTGGCTCAGTTCACCATGGAGTCAGAGGTGATAGCACTAGCTATTGCTAGTGAAGAAGCAGGTTGGTTAAGAGATTTGCTAGGTGAGATTCCCTTATGGGAAAAACCATTACCGGCTGTCTTGATCCATTTCCATGGTACCACATATTGCAAAAGTTCAGAACCGTTATTACAACGGCAAAAGGCGACAAATACGTCATAAGCACAACATTGTGAGAGAATATCTCTCAATCAGAGCTGTTAGAGTGCATCATGTACGCATTGAGAATAATTTGGCTGATCCTTTGATGAAAGGGTTAGCTAAAGAGAAAGTCCATTATTCTTCTAAGAAAATGGGACTATTGCCATTAAAATGAGTCACACATAATGGTAACCCAACCTATAGACTGGAGATCCCAAGAAATAGGTTCAATGGGTATTAATAAGTTATGGAGTGATTTGAGTTGATTATGTTTAAAAGACATAAATTCCTGAAGCGATCAAGGATGAGTTAATAAAAACTCTCAAAGAAATATATACTCCATTTG